AAAACTGCTTTCCGTAGTTTCGACTTTTACGGCCGGTCTAACGATAAGATTTGAAAAACTGTAGAAGTTCAGTATTAATGTCCTCTCTGAAATAATATTTCTAAAAAATACGTTGTGCGCACAATCCTATCGGTAAATGATACGCGCGCGTTTGCAAGCGATACAACGATTCGTGGTGGTAAAAAATAACCGTCTTGAAAGGCTTGGTCAATGTCGAACGTTTACGAGCGAATAAAGATTGCCTATGTATACGTGCGAACTATGTGAACCATCTCTTCACCCGTAAATGCTATAGACAATGCAGAGATTCACGCAGTCAACAACGCTAATAATATCTACGCTTCTTCTCGGGTCGAGGCTTCTCTTTTTGTCGAAGAAATCGGGTGTTATTCATAATTCTTCGACATTACGACATCGTCGTACAAGGTGTCCGTATAATCAGTGATACAAGTGTTAAACGGGTGATACCTCTCGTCATACACTAGTGCGATTTGCAAGTATAATTTTCTTTTCCTTCCAAAAACGGCTCCGTATTAATTATCGCGCGCGACTCGAATCATAACTTGAATACGGGATTCTTAGATGAGCGAGGACTGCGAGCTTTCCAGCGAGGTGACAAATTGATGTTACAATAATTAACGTTACCAAGTTCAGAGCGACCTCTCCTCGAGTCCTTCGGGAAGGGATCGACATGAGACTCCCCGAGAGACTCCTATCTGAGAGAGGTAGCAGAAAGAGAAAGCGAGAGAAAGAGAGAGAGAGAGAGAGAGAGAGAGAGAGAGAAAGAGAAACACAGAGAGAAAAAAAGGGTGAGCACACGATTTCTCAGGTATCCCTGATGGAATTCCATCGTGCCCCAAACTCGCTTGAGGACCGAAGAAGAACCATGGCACTGGGCGTGTACGCACCTTTCCCGGACACCTTGTGATGTGCACGCACCGGCGGCACCAAGATCGAGCGCTGCGCGTCCCTGGTCGTCGACGATCCAGGTCGTCGTTAAAACGTCGTCGGCGGGACGGCAAACTCGTAGGCGATTCTCAATTGCTTTTCGATCGAACGCGAGATCGAACTCGCAATTGCGCACGGAAAGCAAACGGCGACGCGAAGGAAGAGCAATTTACCTGGCGGATGTCGCACGCGCGCGGCGTCGTCTCTAATCCACGGGGCCGGCCGCCGGTTGGGACGATCGATCGATCTCTTTCTCTCTCTCGTAGTAGGTCGACGCTGGCTCGGAAGGGCCCGGCCTCGCGGGGAAGGTCGGCGGCCGACGCGACTCCGTGCTCGTCGGGAGGGCACGAGCGTACTGACGTCTTGTCTTTACTCCGACGCTGCGCTCTCTCGCGTTCCTCCGCGGTCCTCGCTTATCCCGGCTCGATGACTGGCAGAGAGAGAGAGAGAGAGAGAGAGAGAGAGAGAGAGAGAGAGAGAGAACGAGAGAGCGCGAGAAAGAGAGAGAAAAAGGTCGGGTGGGAGTGCGGTACACGCGCGCGTGTCGCGACGTGCGTGTATAAAACGTCGTGCGCGCTAAGGACGGGTGTGCGGGCGGAACGTTGAAGGGAGAGACCGTAAGAGAGAGGGAGGAAAAATGCGCGGGTGGCGAGCCTCGAGCGGCACCGGATGTATGCGTGCACCAACACACGCGGCACTCGAGCCACTGGCTGACGACGCAGGCGCTCCTGCGCGGCCGAGCCACCACGAGAGAGCCTCGCGACCGCACGGGTGCCGGCATCTGGCGTCTCGCCCACGAGGTCGTTCGCGGCGAATCGATCGCTCGAGCCGCAGGTGTTTCGATTAACGCTTCGATAAAAACAAATACTGAACTGTAGATTTTACGATAACGCTCCCGGTGTTTTTGAGCGCGAAATGCCACCATGGGATAAAGTCGAAGAACCGAACTTGTTCCTCTTTTTATCTTTGTCTCTGTGTGAAGACGCTTTGTAACAGATTTTTCGGAACAAAATTCGCTCGTGATTTTGTTGGAAATCTTACAACACGTGATCTTCGCTCTTCAAAAAATATGAATTTAAGACGGTTTCGGAAATAAGCTCTTTATGACTTCTTCTACAGGAAAGAGCTTAAAATGCTGCAATTCAAATTTGAGTTCTCTCAAATTAAGATCTCAGCATGTGCTCAATTATTTTATATATATATCTTTAGATAATAATACTAAATCTCAGAATCCCAAAATTATTCGATACTTTCAGTCACACTCTGACCTCAGGGAAATCGATTCGCGCACTGCGATCTAATAGTTACAAACTTTCAGGTAATCTAAAATTATCTATTAATTTGACTCGTCTCAATTTCGCATATATCCTTTCTACCGATATCGTATGAAAAAAACACTTTCCAAAACTAATTAAAATTTACATTAAGATAATCACGGACTTTTCAAATGGCATTCACCGCATGAGATATCATCACATATCTCGGTTGAAAAAACCGCGGCTTTTTCTCGAACGGTCCTTACGTTTGTCGAACAACGGAGAAACGGAGTTAACGTTGCGTAAAGGGGAAGTATCGAGAATTATTTCCCGTATTATTCGATACTCACCATCAGCGTAGGCCGCGATTCGCCTTTTTAACGGCACTCGTCGCAATTTACACGAGGATCACGCGCGCGCTTACAAAACCGACATACGTAATTGCACGCGCATTGAAAAACCGCGATGATCTCACCGCCGAGAACACGCGAGTCGAGTCGCTAAAAAAGAAGCGATCGACGTTCACGTTTTAGCACTTTGCGCTTATCCCGCGTACCTTGTACGTAAAGAAAATTACACTCTCGATCGAGCTACACACAGCACGGTTTGCTGTGCGATCGGCCTAATCGAACGTCTGCGCCCGAGCATTATCGCGCTACCGTCTCGAGGTGTTCGTAATCGCGTCGTAATCTTATCATCACGTAATATCGCCATAACGCGATAACCGCCTAAGGCGTACGCGCGATTTTGTTTGCCAAATTACCGACGATTGATCGGCGACGATTGATCGATGACGTATCGATGATACGTTGTTGTTTCCGCGCTCGTGAGATTAACACAATCCAAATTCTGCATCACGTGAAATTAACACAATCTAAATTCTAAACAGGATCCGTAATATCTTGCGGAAAAAGTGTCGTTATCCAACACGATATCGATATGTGCGCATGATATCGCGCGAATCTCCGTGGAATCTCGCGCACTCGGGACTTGAGGAGTACCAATTATAATGAAACGGTCAAAGTCACAGCCTCACGAATATACTGTTACATTCCTGGGAGACGATGTGTCACTCCCAGACACTTATCTTTGCCATTCGCCCACGCGCGCCTTTTCTTCTAATGGTCGGCTACTTATCTCGCGGCGCGATCATTATCGCGTTTGATCCGGTTAAACGACGGTGCTCGTTCGCTCGCTCACTCGTGTCGGGAATATCTGAGAACATCTTACGATGTTGGCCGCGATCGGCGCACGGAGATGCCGCGAGACAGGTTGCAGCCGGAAGATGAACGAGCGACCGGAGCGTGACGGAAAAATCCCGCGCGAAATTATAATCGAGCGTGATGCGAGCGGAAAAGGCGCGATAGGTGAGCTCGATAGAGCGCGACCCACATCAGGCGCTCTTTGCGCGAGCTGAAATTAAATTCAGCAGAAATTGAAAATGGACCTGTGGGCTGAAATTACAAATCGCATTCGATACAAACTGAATTAATCTCGCGGCGCACATATAGGACTTGAATTTAACGCGGTTTTCAACTGAATCCCCTGAATGAGATGCGAGAAAAATTGCAGGTCAAAAGAGAAAGAGAGAGGGATTGTGCTATCGAAGCGAGCATAATTCCCCAAGTACCGTGCTGGTTTTTGTCATGTGGAATACATCAGCGCGGAGAAATGTCAGATTAAAAGATACCACACACATGTTTACAAGTATCTCGCATACTAACTTATACTTTATAATTAGGGATTTATTATACATCTCCTATTTTGCACTGAGAAAAAAAAACTTGAAAATCTATTCGCAGGATAGTAAATTTCACAGTGGTTTCACGATCGCGTTTCTGTGAAATAAAATATTTCACAGAAGTAGACTTTATATCATACAAATGAATTTTCAAGTATTTTTATCTCGGCGCAGAATCTATTAAATCATAAAGCTCAACTCCGACAAAAGTACTCATTATCACTGTGAAGAGCACTTCCGGATGCACAGACTGAATTAAAAGTTCTTCAGCTGTCCCGGAAACGTCGATCTTTTCTATCACCTCCCCCACTCGTGTTTTATCTTATTAAGGATTAACGAAGAGAAATAGAGTAAGTCACTCGTGCAATTCTTGCGCAAGGATTTCCGACGCAGGCGGACGTGTTGCGAAACCGCGCATCTTGCATCCGTCGTCGAGCCGGTGTTCTGTTACATTTAACGACGAACATCTGTCGAATCGAGGTGGGGGTGGAAATGCAGCCGCCGCCGCCGCCGCCGCCGCCGCCAGGGGGTATTTTATGCCCGGCGTGATTTCGCGCCGCGCTGTCGATTTTAACGAGTCGATTCGATATTTACGGGCATCGATTTCCGCGCGATCTGGCAAGCTCGCGATACACACGCACCCATCGCCGCGTTATTTCGGTGTCGGGTGCGCCGGAGGGATGACGTCACGCAACGCCACGCCACGCACGTGCGTGGGCGGCCACGCGTTTGAGAATGCGACTTACGGATACAGTCGTGATTCGGCCGCGCGATAATCGGCTTCCGCGATTCAAATCTCCGAAGCATAAATTTACGAGATTCGTCTCACTTGCTCCGTGAGAAACTGACGCGTGCACGATTCTCTCTTTTACCTTTTAAGTTATACAAGTTAGCAGAATCATTATCTGGATAAATTAAATCGACACGACCAATGTGTCATGCGTGTACTCCATAGTGCAAAAAAATATATGTTTCTTCGAGTATCCATTTCAGTGTAAATAGAGATTTAAGATAAGGTTTCAATGACTACTTAGTGTTAAGAGATCGTTACTTACTCAGTATCAGGCACGGGTATCATAGGAGGAGGTAGACGGCCGTTGTGGTCCAGAAAATGGTTGATCTCGGGTTCCTCTTGCACCGGCGTCTCATACACGAGGGTTTCTACCATCGACCCTTTGCTCGAGCCGAAGGATACCCTGAAAGATAATAGAGATATTAGAGAAAATCATAAAATATAAGTCAAATGTAATAGAAAGTACAAGATGTATAAATATATAAGAAAGTATAAGATGTATAAATGTATAAGATGTGTGTGTCACACAAAATGAGTTCAGATCTCAATATAATTAAATAAAAAAATTTATAAATAAACAAATTTTTCTATAAATGGCTGACTAATAATTATATAAACTGCTGACCAAACGAAGAAAAAGAAAAAAAGTATAGAATCAGGGAAATCGACGTATCCTCTCGTGCAATTTTACGGCCGACGTCGCGCGGCTGGACGCTGTCGTTATTCACTTCTGGAACGTTCTATATTCGAAGCGCCATCGGCGGAGCAGGTCAGACGTCTAGCCGAACGCGAAAAATGCACGTCGTAAACCTCAGTTTCCTATCGCGTGACAGCCGACGACCGCAGGGGACGATATCGAAATCAAAACGTCGCGATCGCGGCGTCGGATTACGATCGAGCGCGATCGAGCGTGATTGAGATCAAGTCGTTCCGCGCGCACACGCGGTACTCATTTACTCGCCGGAAGCTGCTCCTCGGACTAGAAGAAATTCTCGACAACTTCGTCCAGTAGAGGTCAGCCGGCTGCGCCCATCAGCTTCACGTCGCGTATCTATATTGAGTGGTTCCGGGAGGGTAATTTCGCCTACGAGTTCTCCAATTCGATTTTACGAACGAAATTAATTACCGTTCACTGCTGCCAAAATCACCATGAAAACGTTAACGTTCTCGCGAGCGATCGTCGCGTCGGATCTTGCGTTGCAGCTGCGAAAAGATTGTATACAATGAAGCTGAACAGATAGCCATGAAAGCGACCTAAGTGTCGACAAAGCGAACATTTCACGTCAGATTAGTTCACATCATTAAAATGCAATTTTATATTGACACGTATTTTGATTACTTCTCGGAGACGCTTCTCCCTCATCGCGTATTTCGCCTACGCGAGAATTTCTTCCCTTGGCCGCTAACAACGACATCGACGAGACTCCGAGGTATGGATACTCGATAGCTCAAATAACGCGAAACGTTGGAACGGAAATTAGAGTGTTTATGTGAATCTTAGTGACACATATCACACGGTATCAACTAGCGTGATTTACTCGGGCCATTCGCGCTAATAAGACAGAAAATGGCATTAGCAGATCACGCGCGGAGAGTAGAACGGCGCGGCGTGGCACGGCCGCGAAACCGGTTTTCGCGCAGCGACGCGTGCAGCCGACGTTTCGCGTTCGCTAATGCGCCCGCGTACGCGGCTTATTATTCATCGCTGCAGCAGAGTTAATCTCGCAGCCGGATAAGTTTAACCGACGCGGTTCGCTGCGTGCGCGCCGGGGAATCAATTAAGTCACGACATCGCGAGAGATCGATAAGTCCCGGCCGATATATCGCGCGGATGATAGCGAATTGCTTTTCTTCTGTTGCTTATCAGGCGCGATGTTACGGCAACATCGACTCTATCTTCTTCGACTCTCATTACGTTCTCTCGTATATATCCGTTTTTCCTCTTCTCCCTCTCTCTCTCTCTCTCTCTCTCCTTATCTTTCTCTCTTTGAAGACGTAATCGCGCGTTTGTACCGTTTTGTACACGGGGGAAATGTGCAAGAGCGTAACTGATAAGAGCCTGAGATACAGTCTATCACGGTGCCTGCACAAGGCACCGAATGTTGGTTCTGGTCCGCGCTAAAGTGGGTTGTTGGAAGGTGCTGCCGCACGCGGTCGTGTCCGTCAACCAGACCTCGGAATATGTCAAAGTCACGTGGACGTTCAGGTGGTGGAATGACAGGTACGTCTGTGTGCTCCCCTGCGTCTTCTGCACTCGGAATGGTAAAGCACGTACGGTAAAAGAACGAGTGCAGGGACAGCGAAGAATAACGGATAAAGATAAAGAATTTCATGTTGCTTTTTTAACGATCGTAAAAATGGTTTTTTATTCAAGTAGCGAGACGGTTTGAAGGTAATTTTTTGAATATCTCAGATTTTGGTGCCAAAGATAATGCTTTCACGATTATTCACACGTTTCGATCGCTTTATCAGTATTTAGCCTCTTGCGACTGTTTAGTTTCATTGCACAATCTTTTTGCGACTACAAAGCAAAGTTCGGCGCGACACCTGAGCTAGATTAAGGGTTGGGGTGGGTCGGGGTCGAGGTCGCTCGGCTGGCAGCCTCCGATCGATCGGGCTCCGATTTGACCTCCGAACTCGCTTTGATCCATGAAGGCCGCGAAAACGGAAGTTTTCATTCTCCCCTCGTAAAGACGACACCCTTTCTTTCCTGTTTTATTTTTCCCAATAATAGCGATCAATTTCTAGCCATTTAAGTCAGTATTTTCCCCAAACTTTTTTCCTTTGATGATACATTTCTGAAGCGCAGAATTCGATTTATGGAATACTGCGTGTACAGTAAAAATTCACAAACTTTTTATCTTTCACTTTAACAACTATATACTTTTTAATAGTATAATCTAACATCTCTGGTAAGTCGATTAAATTTTAGATTTCGCAAATATTGAAGGAAAATTCAGTAAAGATCAAATTTAAATCGATCGAACTGACAAGTAAATGACACACGTCGCTTCAGCTGAAACATTGATCGCTTTTCGATCGCTTTTCTTCAAGAAAGCTGGATTCGCTATCGATTCAAGAATTTGTAGATGACCATAAAGGAGCAGTAATGGCGTCTCTTTCTCGAGACACCTTGTATATCCAAAGAAACATTTTTTCAGAGTGTCTATTTTTGCTCGATCATAGAAAAATTGCTGCACGGGACTGTGATAATTTTACTCTCAGGGCTCGTGAAGTATCGAGCGCAGCGAACCACGGCGGCAGTCGATTAGCAAGGGTATAGTCTGGGGCTTTGCTGGAATCGATTACGGAATCCCACGCTTCTTGTTTGCTATAGAAAACACTTTGCGTCCATTTCAATCTCTTCGTGGCTTGACATGTGTTAACGGTTTACCGTTCCATCTTTCCAGAAACGATCGCGACGTTGACGATACTTTTCTATTCGCTACCTCGATGATCAATTGAAAGAGAAAAATTATCGGAATAGAAACTGAATTTAGTCTCATAAAGTGTGTCTGGAGACATAAACGTCATAGATGGAATAGAAGACGCGACATCTAAGAGGATCAAACGGAGAAAAAAATTCCAGTGCCCGCGCCGCATTTATCACTAGCTGATACACTTACAAAAATAGACGCCAAATACGCAACAGAGTTTTCTAAGTACGCAACAGCGTTTTGGCAACGGCTCAGGTCATACAGTTCCTTTCTAGAGTGATACACGTCGCACGTCGTGAATTCGTCGCAGCCAGTACTATTGCGAGCTTGGCGCAAATAAACCCTCTTCCTCGAAAGCGGGCTAAAGAGATATTAACCGTTTTTTCGGTCTTACGACTCGCATTAAGTACCTTAATGCGCACTTCGTCTCGTGAGTTACTGCCAAGAAATGGCTAGAACTCCACTTCCTAATTTTCCTACGTTTCCGGCCGAAAATGCGAGGATAACTCGCGCAACAACGCAATACTCTGTGAAATCGCTAAAAACTCATACTCCGCGACTGCGCTCGCGACACCATCGAATTCGCGAGGTTTTCAGCTATTTTTAAATACGCTAAACGAATCCGCGTGCTAATTACCGAGTAATTAGCATCACGACAAGGCTGCGACTTGAATTCCATTCTCATCGCTGCTCGAGAGAGACGGCGTGGCGACGTGACAACTGCGTGCATTCGCGCGGAACGACTCGACAAAGCCGCTATTTTTCGCGAGGCTCTAAGAAACATAAAGCAACGCATCCAACTTTGTGTCTTATAGCATAATTTTGGAAATATAAGAAGAAGAAACTATGAGTAGGACAGCTGATAGTATTCGTCGCGAGACTGAAAAATAACTACGTTCTAATATTAAATACTCCAACAATGACTATAATTTAAATTAAATTATAAGTCACACTAATTATTCTTAGCAGCCTGAATATGTGAGTTTCTGCTCTTTTTCCGTTGAACAAATGAAAGAGACGCAAGAGACAAACTGCGATTACTATCATCTACTAGCTCTGGTATTTCGCGGCCGCGACCGTGAGGTCGAGGGGAGTGAAGAAACGCGCGCCGAGAAGGACCACGTTTTCCTAGTTCGCGTTGCTTCACGCTAGTTTCGTGCTTAGTCACCTAGCGCTATCCCGTGTCTCTTGTCAAGATTATTAAGTGCGCTCGGGAGAGACGGCGTCTCGGTACGTCCGAGCGAAGACTCCGCTCGTCGCATCAAGACGCCCCCCCGTCGAAGAAGTTGGCGATGTTGACCCTGACCTATCCCACGTGCAAATGTCGTAAAAGTCTCGTATGGGCTGCGAAAGTCAGCTTATAAGACCGATACACAGTGACGTGCTCTCTCTCTCTCTCTCTCTTTTTCTCTCTTCTTCTCTCACCCTCGCTGCATCACGCTCTCGCCAACAAGAGAGGCGTCTACGCGCGCCATGTATAAAACCCGACGAACTCGTGCTTGTACTCGCGAGGCGGGTAATTGCGGGTCTTCGACGACGGGAACGAGCCGCATTCATCGGCATCGCGAAGAACTTGCTCCGAGAGAGAGAGAGAGAGAGAGAGAGAGAGAGAGAGAGAGAGAGAGAGAGAGACAAAGAGAGAGCGAGCACGTCGTTTGATCTCGCGAAACTTTCTCGACGCTCCGGGAGAAACGATAACAATAGCTGGTGCCTCCTGAAGAACCGTTACGTTTTTATGGAGTTTCAACGCGACACGATGTACCGAACGAATAATGTCCCGAAAGAAATTGCGACACCTTGAATAACGCGGGCTACGTCGCGCTTCAACCGATTCATCACTTGAATTCGCATTCCGAGATTACCGAATATAAAGAAAGACCGTGCTCTATTTCCTTGCTACTTTTTTTCTTCACCGTATTTACGATTTTCATACTCGCGGCGATCTTGCAAACGTAATATTCGCAAACACATACACGTATCGGAGACTTGTTACAAGTGCGTCGGATCGCGAATGATTCCAATGGCTCACAAGACGAGTCATCTTACACACGTGGAATCAAGTCGACAGATATATGCATCATGAGTTGCGTTTATTTACTGTGTCTCTGCACAGAAAAAACAACATGGTTGGCCCACATACAAATCTGGTTGCGTGCCAATCAGACTCAATAGTAAAATACAACTAATTATGTGGTTCCTGCAACCACAGAGCAATTGTGAAGTTACAGTGACGATATCTGATTGTCCTAATCACTTAAGTATATTCACGGTAAATGTCAACCCCCAACCGATTTCTGGCTGCCATAATCACGTACAACTATATCGATATAATTATATATCAGAGTAACTGAGTCATATCAATACACTACCATCATACAAAGACAACTAAGGTGATGCAACTGTGCTGCTCACAACTAAATATTTTTGATTGTATGCGTCATATCTTTTTCCCGTGTGGTTATTCGAATTTTAATTGCTTTGAAACAATTAATGGAAATTAGCATGACGGTCAACATGTTAAAAGAAAGAAAAAGAAATGTGGCTAAAAATTCAACAAACTTTCACAAGCTCCTCTGATACACGACTATACCGTTCTGAAGGACGTCTTTCATTAGCCTTACCTCTTCAAGCTGGCGTGCTTCGCGCCGTTCAGGATCTTATTCTTGCGCTCGCTGCCGGCGGTGCTGGCATCACTGTCGATGCTGTAGAGGCTGTCGTCCTTGGTGACCCTGGCGTTGTGCAGGGTCGACTTCCTCGCGGCGGTGCCGTTGTGCTTCGGGCTCTCCACCGACCGAGAGTCCCGCTGCGGGCCCGCCGCATGCGGCGGCAGTGCGTGCCGCGGGTCGCCGCTCGCATGGTCCTCGATCCTGGTGGAGACAATCATCGCTCTAGTCGCGTCCAAGCACTTCCTGGGCGAGGTGCTGGCCACGGCGTTGCTCTTCTGCAGCTTGGCGGCGCGATAATTGTTCTGGCTGGGCTCTCCGGGCGGTGGCTTGTCCTCCGTCGGCAGCATGTACGACAACATCGTCTCTCTTGCCTTCAGCTGGAACACGGAGGCGGAAATTCAGCGCGACTGCCGCGTCGAGGGGAGGAGCACGGGGGGAACAGTCGTTGTTAACCGGTAGCGCGGTGGCGAGAAAAATAAGTAGCGATACAAAAGAGATCAATCGAGTGTCGTCGGAAGCGTGGAAAAAAGCGTACCGTTCATGGTAAGAAGAGCACGACGGAGAGCTGGTTGACTGATGCTCCAAGAGATATGTTTAGAGGTTAATAACATCATGGAGGTAATACATTGCAGAAATGTGTGAAACTTATGTTAACGTAAATTATGTCCACGCGAGAGGGAGTTTGATGAAATAATTATCCAAGATGTATGATCCCTGCAAACGCATAAGTCATGTCATCGGGAGGGGAGGGAAGGACGAATTGCAACATATCAAAGGTCCGACGTTTCGCTCGGCGAGTAACAACAAACGTTACAAAATTGTTTACTTCAGCCGCGCGTGTTTCAGTGTTCACACCTTTCGCGCTTCAATCTTCGCGTGTAATCTGATAAATCGTGAAAAGATACAGTCACGCGGAATCCAACGAAAAACATGGGGAGAACAGAGAGGCGATTGGATTTAGCAAGTCTGTGCGACGAGTAACAGCGGACAATAGCGAGTATTGTTCCTGGAGCATTGAAAGGATTAAGCCAACGCACAGTTCGATATCTCGCGACAGTTGTGCGATTTTGCGCGCGCCGCGGCGCCCATAGTCTCCGGTGACGGAGAACGACTATTATTAGCGCGATAAGCCAGCCGTCTCCTGTCAAACCGGCGTGTCTCTGCCACCGCGAGAGACTTTCCCGGACGCGCGACATCATCATCATCATCACCATCGCTGGCGAGTAACTGTATCAGATCCGTCCGTCGGCGCCCCGCAACGGCATCACGCAACAGCCGCGATCAATTGGAACGAGAGCGCTCGAACGAAACGATCCGCTTTAAATGCGTTTACATAGTCACTGACTGACATAGACCGCGACGTCGTATCTATCTTTAGGCGCCGCTACGTCTTTGACAACAAAGCTCGCATGCACTCGCGCGATATCCAATGTGGAGAAAAAAAATGGGAAACATTGCGGAACGCCGAATAAACGGGCCGAATAACCCGGCACGTTTCTCTAACGAGACGCTCATAAACGAAGACGATGACGCGAGAGTACGGGGAATGCGGCTGGTCGATGTACACGGAAATGTGGAAGTCAACGCGAGCCTGAGGAACACCGGAGTATACAACGGGCTTTGATGAATGGAAAACATTTGGGGAACAGGTGATGTCGATGGCTACCGCAGTTCGGCTACGCGAGTATCGAAGCTCGTGATTGGAGGTTTGTAAACGGAGATTTTGCAGCACGAAAATCGAGAATGTTGCTGATCGAGATATTTATCAGACTGAGAAAAAATATTGGGAAACTTATTCGTGGGATGAAAGTTTATTTTATAGAAGTAAGTTTTATTTCGCAAAAATAAACTTTATTTCACAGAGATAAACTTTATATTCAACAGATAAATTTTCAAGTATATTCTTTCTCAGTGTAGATTCGATAAGATATATTAATATATTGCCATTAAGTGCGAAGCAAAAAAATTGCTAATTTCACTAAAATTTCAGTAATTTCTGGTATTTTTCCAATCATATTTTCATCGTTCTTATAAAAAAGTAATGCATACAATTATCACTAACATTATAGTAGCATTTACAAGGATGGCTTGCTTCCGACTATAATTATTTTACTGTGCAATTACAGTTACAAGCACTTTTTTCCGATGAATGATTCGACAGATAAAAATTTCTGATAGAAATGAGATATAACGATGATGACGACGACGATGTTGATAATAAAAGAAGTCAATGGCGAAGAGAATCGATATGTAATCATCGAGATGAAGCGCAGCTTGATCGGCGGCTCAAGATGAGAGTTATGTGAAAATTCGCGCGCGAAGATCGGAAACCGTGACGAGCGATTCGCGAGAACTAATCGCCGAATCCGCTCTGTCGATTTCGGCGTCGGCTCGGCTGGGGTATCGATATCGACTCACCGGTGCGCAAGTTCGCATCCTGCGGCGTTTATCACTCGCGGGGCTTCATGCATCGACGGATCATCGTCGCACGACTGCCTCTTCGTCGTCGTTAAGCTCGCACAGTTGTCGTTCACGCTCAAACGCGCCCGACGACGTTCCCGCGCGCGTTTCTCACGCGCGCGATTTCGCACGTTGGCTTCATTAGCGTGTACGCGGCCACGAGCTTTATTCCGCGACTGCTTCCGCGACTCGTTCACTCGCTCGCACCCGACGCTTGCGCGCTCGCTTTAATGACTGCTTCTCGACCTCGTGATCGCACTCTGCCTTTTGGCACGCGGTCGCGTCTGTGCGAAATTATTTTAGCGCATCAACCCTTGCCTCAACGAAAGACGCGCGTCATTCCTCGTAACTGCTTGTCGTGCTTGCGTGCTCGATCGGCAGAGACAGGGAGACGTGGCGGCGAACTATCGCGTCGCGATAACTTCGAACATCAAGACTCATTATCGTAACAATGACACGAACGAGATCGTCATTGGCACTTCCGACGCGACGTCACAAGTACTGTTACTTCCGGCGACGGCGAGTGTCTCTCTTGAGCCGCCTCTATCGGCGACGCGGAGGATCGTGCGCGAGGTGGAGAGGTACGTTCGCCAGTAGAACGCCGGGCCGCAACTGAGCGGCGACGCGCAAAAGCGAGGCAAAGGTTACAGATACGGCCGACTATAGCTATACCTACTCTACTCCGCTCTAACCGGCCACCTCTCGGTTCCGTTCTAGACGTTCTCCGGTGAACCGTCTATGCCGCGGCTCCATGTATGTATATCAATTCGGAGGTGGTATCGTCCTCTCGAGGCGGCATGCATCTTGCAGCGTGTACACACACACACACACACGCCATACACATATATACACACATGAAGCCTGCCGTACCCAGCCGGCATCATATCCTCCCGCATCCCCCGCACACGATGTAGGATTTCTACCCGCTTGAAATAGTGGATTTCCACTCGGCGCTACTGCACGTCGGCGGACAGAGTAGCCGGTCGTTAATATTGCACCGAGGCGAGCAAGGTTGCAAGTTTTTATAGCCACACCACGAAGCGCGTGAAGCGGATCGATCCTCGTAAAAAGTGGCAAATTGGGGAGTCTCGTGATTAGTGGGTGATCGCATAATCGCGTCAACTCGCGGGACACTTCTAAGCGTTTCCACCGTCGCACTCGCCGGAGAAAAATACCTTTCTCCTTGCAAAGCTCTCTTTTCTTATCGCAAAATATATATATATATTTTTTTTTGTATAGAAACGTCTTGTGTTCATTGAAACAAAAATTAAATAATCTTCGTCAAATGGATTTCGTTGATCTTTTAATTACGTCGAGATGGCGGAAGAAATTTCATAATTCTCAGCGGACTCCTCGGAATATTCCGGAGCTAAATAAGGACCGCTATGAACACGCGGCAGGTGTATTTATGATCATTACCGCCGCGCAGAGAAAATGTTCTACCGGATTGATAAGATCGCCACGAGTGGGTCTGCAAGTTACAATTTAGAATTAGGTCGCCGAGATGTATCAGAATAGATATCTTAAGGACGTCAGTATCCTACCGTTCGTTAATAAAAATTGCATAACTGATGAGATTTATTTTCTCCGAGTTTACTGAAATTATATTTATTAAAATTACATTTAAACCAAAAATATCGAAAATATATGATAAAATCACGAAAACATATTTAATAATTTCTCCCAAATTTGAATTTTTTATTTTATGCTGATTACTTACGTATTACTTATTGTCGCAAATATATCATTTATTTATTTAGAAATATTTTTATTTGAAATATCAAGGAATATTTAAGAATTTTTCGTAAAAAATATCAAGGAAAAATTTTTAGAAATAAATCTTTAATAAATATTTATATCGCGACATTATAATAACTGATGAATATTTTCTTCACTGAGAAAAAAATACTTAAAAATTTATTTGTGAAATATAAAGTTTACTTCGATGAAATAAAGATTATTTCTCTTTCTCTGTGAAAATAAACTTTATATCCCACAAATAAATTCTCACGAATCTTTTTCTCGGTGTAACGACGTGGAATTCAGTCGCGCTTCTGCCACAAAGATACCCCCGTCTCGTAGAAGAATGTACTTCGAACTATACCCTAATCCGAATGGTCTCGTCGATTTGCGACATTTCTCGAGGTCTTCCGCGGAACCGAGACGCTCGATCGCTTCGCGCGTGCAGCTAAACTGCAGGTGCATTCGTCGTGGCGAGCGCCGCCGGTACCATGGCTGGCCATGGTAGTCATTCAACCTGCTCCTTTCCCATGCAAACCCCCGCCTAGTTTAAAGAGCCCCGAGCCCTTCCGTGCGTGAAGAATTTCACGGCTGAATCGCCGGCTCCCATCCGCTCCCGTTACGCGGACTTTACGGACACCGGAACGAACTCGATTTTCCTTCGGCAAATCATGGCCACGGATATTTTGAGGCAATCGCGACTGCATTTCCAAGATGCTCGCGGCCAGTTAACCCTCTAACCGACATCGACGTCGGGTTTTAGTGAATAACATGAGGTAATAATCTAAGTTTCGAGTAACTGCGACTTGCAGAGGCGCTAAAATTATTACATCCTGGTGGACGTACACTGTAAAAACTGATGTGTTAAATTTAATATCTCATGTGTCCCAAATCATCCATTCTCATTTATGTGTAAATTTAACACAAAACAAATGTGTTACAAAAAATAACACGCGTAATATGTAAAAAATTAACACTTGAATACCGTCAGGAATCACAGTTTGTGTTAAATTGACATATGTATAATGTTAAATTAATTAAAATAAAACGTTACTTTAACATTTGAGAAAAGCATCTCTCTACGGTTTTGATGAAATAAAAATGTTAAATTGACATAATTTATGTCTGCCATATTAAATATGTCAATTTACCACAACCTGTGATTCCTAACGATATTCAAGTGTTAAATTCTTGTGTTAATTTTTTCCATATTATGCGTGTTACTTTTTAACACATTTGTTTTGTGTTAAATTTACACATAAATGAGTGGGATGATTTGGGACACATGAAATGTGTTAAATTTAACACATCAGTTTTTACAGCTTTACCGTTGTGAAAAATTAAAAATTGCCAAATAGTCTATCTTTGGAAATTTCCCATCGAAAGAAAATTGGGCACGATACATGTCGAAATCTTTATCTTATTATACGAAAGACATCTGCATATATTAGTACGGAGATACACGCAACATTCAAACATGACGTACTCACGTTCGCGCCAAGGAGTACACGCGGCCAGGATGTCCAGAATGTCCTCTTGGTGGAGTAGCATCGGGACTATCTGAAACAGAAATTCACGTGCATTGGTTAGGTGGAGAGTCTTTTTACGACAAAAAAACTAAATAAATAGTAAATGAATAAAGTATAGTGCAAATAAATAGCTAAATTTGTCCCATTGTATGTGCTGTTGTCATGGGATAAAGTCGGCAAAATTTGTCTCGCGAGCATCCAAGCGAAACAATCCGCTTGATCGCGAGACGATCTCGAGGAAGACCGATTTGAGGCGATATCTCCAAGATCTTCAAGCGTACGTCGCGCAACTACCGGCTCGTTCGATGTCCTGACTATGAATACCGTCCACGGCGCAGACACTCCGGATAGCAAAGAGTTAGGTACTGGTCTAGGAACGACGGAGCGTCCTCTAAACAGCCCATTACTCGGGAATGAAGAGGATGTGCGCGAAGCAACGAAGCTCCTTTTTTCTCTCGAGGCGGCGGAGAAAAGTGAGGGAAACGACGGGAGGAAACGATCTCGTCTCTCGCGCTTGAATGGGCACCTGTTTTCGCGGGGACAGGTGACATCACGCACACGCGCTGACATATACTATAAACGGGCGTGGGAATCAGAGGACGGGTTGAGGGCAATGACTTCTCGAACGAGTCGACGCGCGCTGAGATAGACATAACGACACTTGCCCTCGAGAGATGCCTCCGCCTCGCCGAGGGACAAAAATCGGTTTGTTCGAACGCCGCGGAAATGGATTTTCGTGAGATGAATTCGCCGGCTGTTTGCATTACCGATAATGAGACCGATATGTGCGAAATGCGGTTCATTGCGGCAGTTAATTTGAGAAACGCGGTGCGGTAGTCATTGTTTAATGTCGATCAACGGGCGAATTAAAGAGTCTCTAAATGGTTAAGTCACAAAGCAGATTAATATAGAATATTTCAATATTCGACTTCTTAACCCGTAATTGGAAAGGTGGAATTTGATGAATTTATTTCTTCTTTTTTTGGTTGTATTTTTATAATTTCTTAAACCTTATATAATATTTCTCATGATTCTGTGGAATATTGAGATTTAATGACAGCCAACAGAAAAAAATTCTAAAGACATTATAGAGATTTAAAGAGAACGAAATGGAATGCGTAGGGTTTTCTCTTAGACTTCATCTTTCCGACGACGAGTTATCAACAAAACCAGAGATTCGATTTTCAACAATATTTGTAATATCAATATTTGTAATATCTGTAAAATTTAATATTTGTAATATTTGTAAGATCAAAACAGACGAAAAAGCGAAGGAATTGGAGGAATAATTCGTAGAAATTTTATGTGTAAACAGAAAAATTAATTACTTACTTGCGTAGAACGAGAACAGGAACTTGTTAATTCATTGTTTCTGTATGCAGTGACTGGCGAAAGCGTTCGAAGAGCAATAATGTAGTTTTAGTGAGATGCTTCGAGCACTTTCGTCGGGTCATGAGTCGAACACACATAGTAACTTTAATATGATTACGTGAAATACAATATCGGCGGATAAATCGATTTCGATATCGCTCTCGTGCTAAGTGCAACAGTCCGATAAGCTCGGCATAAAATAAGGCTTCACGTGAGGCAATATCTCGAAGGCCGCACACGCGTGATAAGAAAACTGTACGACGCGGGGCCCCACTTGGATCATCGCGGTGCAACGGAGGACGATTAAAAAAGTCCGGCTTATCCGTTCGATTACTCCACGCGGCCGGGTAACCGTCTTGATTGCGCTTATCACCTGCCTGAGTCACTCCGTTTTGCCGTCGACAAGGTCGTACGAAGGCGAACGTGCGATCGTGTTTTTATTCGCGCGAGAAGTCGCCTTACTCCGGGCTATCGTTCATTGATCTCCCGGAAAAGAGCAGGCTTAAAACACGAAATCAAGACCTCTCGAGATACTTTTAAATTTCGAGAACGTCATCGTGGTGCAGCGAGAAAAAGCATTTGCAAATTTATCTATAGGATATAACTTTGACACGTATAAGTACATTTTACCTCACAAAAGTGAGCCTCATCTCTGACAGAATTAAACTTTATATCCCACATATAAATTTTCAAGTACTCCTTTTCTCAGTGCGTGCAAGGATGAATAACTGCCTCCAGAGATATCAAAGCGTATCGTATGATATTTGACTTGATATTTTTAGTAAAAATATTTTTTGACATTCTTTGATGTATTCTAGGTAAAAATATTCCTAAATAAATAAAGGATATGCTTGCGATAATAATAAGTGAATAATCGGCGAGATGCTTCTCGTTTCTCAGGGCAGCCCTATTAATTAATTCCGATACAAGTCAAATGTGCCAATGACGGTTATTAAAATATTCACGCGATACTTCGGCATATACGTTAATTTATTTAGCACACTTAAGTACGGGGACGCGGCGACGAATTACGCGCAACGATGGCCGCCGGTTCCGCCACGATTACGACGCAATGATGCAATGCGCTTGAGTGCGTCGGGGCGCTAAATTGATAAATTTGCATGCCCCGCCGTCCTACAGCGCAGCACTCGTATACGGTGCATCCTCGTGTTGCACGATCGACTGCTTGGCTCGAGAAAGAGAGAGAGATAGAGAGTAAGAGAAAGAACGGAATAAATCTCGCCTTGGGTTCTCGCATAATGAGGACGAAGCACCGCAGGCGGTTGGCGCGATAAATTTGCGCTTTCGAGGACCCGAAATGTTAATACAGTTGAGCGTATAAAACAGATACACATGTGGCGCATGACGCTGGTAAGAATATCGGTCGAAACGATTCTCGTATCATTGTTTCTCATGACCCAAAATTGCTCTTACTTGTGCTCGTAATCAAACGCGGGGGAATCTTGAGATAAAATTTGAACTAAGTTAATCGAGAAATATTCATCATTTTTAAATTTTCCTTTTTACAAGACTATTTACTCATCAGGGATTGATCTTCGTTGGGATTAATTGTGACAATTTCATGAACAATACTCTCCGACACAAGAAGAATATTTTAATCGAAATATTTTTTTCTTTCATATAAATTCTTTAATTTGTTTTTAATAATCCAGAGATAGATAGTCAGTAAGGTCTGAGAAACATTTGTTTTGCTAAGGAACATACACTGAGAAAAAATTTACTAAATTTCAAAAAACGTCCGTTTGGATAGTACTGTGAAGATATTTGTTTAAATTATTTTCTAAAATTAAATAAAGAAGTTTTAAATATAAATTTGTTTGTTTAATTTTAGAAAATAATTAATTTAAACAAATATCTTCACAGTACTATCCAAACAAATTTTTTTGAAATTTAGTAAATTTTTTTTCAGTGTAGAAAATTTCGCTAGACACAGCAGATTTTGTTAGAAACGTAGCGAGTGCTTCAATAGCACGCTTCAGTTCCTATAATGCTATTAATGCCGATATTTCTCGGCTACAAAATGCTGTAATGAGCTTTACTATAAATTTCTCTCCGTGAATAACGCGTTATCGCGGTGCGACAGGAACCCGGTGCGAGCGAGTCGACGCGAATTTATTCTCGTGGGAACTTGAGCGCTTGAAGGCGCTAAAGTGAGTAATTTTTCGGGACGATTATAGTTACGACGAATGCGAGGCTTACGTATGCGAAACGATCGGCGAGTGACATCATCGACTGCCATGTGCCCGCGACCAGAAACGTTTATCCGAATGTTCTCTCCTCGCCTCGCCAAGCGCGCTTCTCGTGCGCCGTATATTTTTATCGGGTGGAGAAAAATAACGCGAGCACATAACGCGAGTGTCACGATTATTGACGTGAACTTTAAGCTAAGCCCTCGCCAATTGCCTCCGATGCGTCCTTATAATCCCGCACAGTCCGACTACCCGAAACCGTCTCTCGACTGGACGATTGCTGCAACTCGCCTTGTGCACTCGAACGAGGATACGTACGGCGGTAGAATTGCTGGTCAAGGGTTAAAACAGCGCTCGTGCAACGATCGTGTTTCTGCTCACGAATGCGATTTCACGACACGTGCATAGAAAACGTGGATGAAGTCATCGCGATGACGTCAGCATCTGATTACGCGATCGTTCAATCTTTCCTTCCGCCTCCGCTTTTCGCGGCCGAGCAAATAGACGATGTTGTTGAAACCGGTTAGAATTATGGGCAGGCGTGACAAAGTCAAAACAATTATAAAGTATTTCGAAAAAGTTTGTCGCGCGCCAATAAAGTCTCATGTTTTAGTGCTAGGATTATGTGTGCCTCCGAAATATCCCTGGACCTATGAACTCCCCGACGAACAGAACTCGTTAAATATGGGAGAGACTTCTCCGACATGCGAAGATACGATCGATCTTCGCATAATTGATCCAAAAATGACCGACTGATACAAACTACGAAATACAATTTTGCGCAACAGATTCAGCTATATTCGTTTAACCCGGAGTGCTCGTGCGGTCTCGTTGAAATGTCGCTGTTCTGCGTCGAACGTGCACAAAAAGAGAGGGGGAAGATAGAAAAAGAGAGAGAGAGAGAGAGAGAGAGAGAGAGAGAGAGAGAGAGAGAGAG